AAAATTTTACTGATTTATTAAAAATTATTAAGTGTAAATTTACTCGTGTTTATAAATCAAAGAGCGTACAATTATGTTTCAATATAATTTACAAGTGTTATCTGACAATGATTTGTGAAAATGAGAAATTAAGCCATCTGCATGAGTCATATACTGTACAGTCCCCTTCACTAGTGCATTTGCAGGGGCTCGTCAGGTTTTGTGCAGTGTGTCATTATTAGGGCCCGGATAGTTATGCATTTGCATATTTCATATGCAAATGCATATTTTGCGTGATTTCTATGATAAGTGCATATTACCTAGATAACTGCATATAAATGCATATTTTGGTAAAAATATTCATCTGGCAGTATCTCTTTGTTGCCACTGAATGAGCACACGTGGTACTGGGAGGTGAGGTGAGGTGTGGTTAGGTGAAATGAGGTGAGGTCACGTCGCTTTAATCTGTCGTTTCCACACCTGGTCATGACTCATTGGACTAGTGAGTTAGTCAGTCAGGAGCAGTGCTGCTGTGTGGAGCTACTCTCTTCTGCTGCTCGTGAAAATGCCGAAAGTACAAAGAAACCAAAATGAAGTGCTGAGATCATATGTAAAGGAATTTGATGCATTTACTACTGATGGAAGTGTACTGTTTTGTAAATATTGTGAAGCACCAGTGACAGCGAGCAAGAAATTTCAAGTCCAACAACACCTTAAAACAAGCAAGCACATCCGACTCGAAGCTGTTAAGTCCAATAGTGCACAAAAGGAGCAACAACTACTTCTTGCATGTTCCAGTAAGTCAGGGCCTGATCGTTCCCAGTTCAACGCAGATTTGTGCAAGGCATTTGTTTCAGCGGATATTCCATTGCATAAACTGAATAACAAGTGCCTAAAGTCATTCCTGGAACAGTATACTGGATGCTATTATTGACGAGACGGTACAGCCACTCACTATGTCAGACCTCCTATGTATGAAACATGCACCAATCGTCTCGTGTGATGTAGAAAGGGTGTTCTCAGAATATAAAGCTATGCTGACAGACAACAGGCGGGGTTTTAACTTTGAGAACTTACGCCACCATGTCATCATCAAATGCAACCACAATCTGTAATGTCTGAAAACATGTCAGTCTATAATGTAAATACATGTTCATATATATTTTTTGAAGCACTTTCACATATATACGTATATTGCTTAATAAACATTAACATTAGTTTATATTAACTATTTTGTTTCCGTATAACCTGCATTCTTGGCTTTATAAGTGGCATTTTTAGTGCATATAAATGCATATTTCCCCCGTTTTTAGTGCATATTTGCATGCATATTTCATGGTTTTTTAGTGCATAACTATCCGGGCCCTAGTGATTATGAGAGGGAGCTTTTAAAAAGAAACAAAAGGAAGGGAGCATAATAAATTATGTTCAAGTGATACTGATGATTATGATCCCCAGCCTGGACCAAATTCTAAAAGGAAATGGCATGGTAAGCAAAGTTCCTCCTTGGGTAGAAAGGTAAAAAAATCTAACAGTAGCACAGATCATTCACTGAGAGAGAGAGAGAGAGAAAGAGGTTATTCAGTCAGATAGTCAGGGAGATGGTCAGTACTTTGATAGTAGTCAGCAAGTGGCACAAGGAACTGTTCGGCAACCCCCTACAGTGTCTACAGTCCCTACATCTACTGCATGTCCCACGCCTGCTCAAGTCACGCTCGGTGGGTCTGGGATGAATCTCCTTTTACACTTTCTGTTTTTCCATTTGAGGCAAGTAACTCTGGATTGACTGATGCATGCAGTGTGACAGATGAGTCAAATGAGCTAGATTATTTACTCATGTATCTGGATAAGGAACTTACAGACATAATAGAGCGAGAATCTAACCTCTATTACCTTCAGATGAAAGAATCTGGGCCAGATTTTTTGAGAAGTGGGCATCAAGTTACTTGGAAACCAGTTACCAGAGATGACATCTACATGGTTTTGTGTTTACTGATGCTTATAAGTCATGTAAAAAAAAACACAGAATCAATGACTATTGGACAGTGAATGAGGTTTTTAAGACACCAATATTCTCCAAACTCATGTCCCATGACAGGTTTTTACAAATATTACGGTGCCTGCATTTCACAGATAACAAGCAAGTTCAAAAATTATTGGCTATGCAAAGTAAGGCCAGTTTTTAATCACATGCATAGGAAGCATATGGAAATGTTTACTCCATACTAAGACCTTTGTATTGATGAGAGTTTATTGTTGTGGCGTGGTAGACTAGGTGTCCGGCAATACACACTGTCAAAATGGTATAGGTAAGGAGTAAAATTATTTGTATTATGTGATGTAAAAACTGACTACATTCTTGACTTCGTTGTGTATACAGGGGCAACTACTGCCATAGAACGAGATGAGAACCTGGGTATTTCTGGCTCTGTGGTCAAAACATTCGTGAAAGATTACATGCAGAAATCACATATACTATATTATGATAATTAGTACAGTAGCCCCACTTTGTTTCAGTACCCAAATGAAGGAAAAACAGGTGCATGTGGAACAGTACGTGCCAACCTGAAGGATGTGCCATCACTTCCTAATGTGAAGCCTGGCGAGATGGTTGCTCATCACTGTAATTAAATCGGCTGTGTAAAGTGGAATGATAGCAATGTTGTGCATTTGTTGACTTCTGTCCATCCATGTCATATGATTCATACAGAAAAGAGAGGTTGTGGTGATGAGATCATCCAAAACCTGCCCCTGTAGTAGATCAAAATAAAAAAAAATGAGAATAGCAAACAAAAATTACATGCTTCTGTCTTCCATAGAATGTGTACGCAAAACAGTAAGATGGTAGTTGAAGTTATTCAACCACATTGTAGATATGTCTGTCCTAAATGCATACCATATATACATACACAAAACTGGAAAACAAGTAGCATTGCTTGATTTTAGCAAAGCAGTCATTCACCAAATGATGGATAAATACAGTGCACAAAGAGTTCGGGCAAGTGGGACTGCGTCCGTCACGCTTATCACTCCACCATTTTCCCTCACCCATTCCTCCCCTTCCCCAGACAGCTCGACCTCACAGATGATGTCACGTCTGTTCACACTCACCACTGCACTCCCACACATCCCAGATGACATTACATGTGCATTGAATGTAATGTTCCCCTCTCTGTGCACCCATGTTTTGGTGAATTTCACACACAACAAGAATATTGAATGTTGTGATATTGAAATGTAGGCTACAATTGTAGGTTCTTTGTAAATACAGGCAGTCCCCGACTTATGACGGGGTTAGGAACCCAAATCCACGTCTTAAGTTGATTTTTTTTTATGGGCATTAGCCCACCTGGGCACAGGTAATGACCCATATCAGGGCCTGGGGGGCAAAAATAAAATAATAAATAATAATTATAATAATAATAATAAATGCGAAAATAATATATAGAAAATCTAAAATGGGTGCCTCTTTTTCTTCTCAGCACCACAAAACTCTCACTTTTAAGCTTGCCAGCCATTTTAAAGGGAATTAAAAAAAAATTGTCAGTACACAGCGCAATCACTAACGTCGGGATTCGAAAATACTTAATTTGAAAAAAAATTTGGTACGACTGGGGCGGTCGTATGCGAGGAGTACCTGTATTCATATTGGATGTAAATATTGACTCTTTCATATTTTCTTTATATATGAATTATTGGTTTACATATTTTGTTCACAACAAAACTGAGAGAGAAACTTACTACTTATTTTGAGTAAGAGTAAAGGAGACTTATGACATACGGTGTGCGTGCGTGCGTGCGTGCGTGCGTGTGTGCGTGTGTGTGCGTGTGTGTGTGTTAAAAAAATCAGTACTGTATTTGTTTTGCTTATTACTGTACTGTAAATACTGTACTACAATATTTCCATGAAATTTATTCGTATAAACTAATAACATTGAAATGATTAAGCACATAAACAGTGCATAACTCTTTTTTTTTTTGCAAATTTTCCAATATGCAGTAAAGATAAGTGTCACACTGAACAGGGAGAGAGTACAGATAGTATAGTACAGGGTATTTGAACCTGAGAACCGAATTGTACTCAATTGTTTATTATGTACAGTATTTGTCTGCTGTTTATGTATATGTGTGATTGTGCATCAATACTTGTGTGTGAATACTGTTATGTATTGGTGTAAGTCTTTTTCACTGTATGTATTCATGTGTGTGTGTGCATTCTTTCATGCATTCACAGTTTTGTGTACATGTGTACATTAGTGCATGATCTTATGCATGTGTATGTGTACTGTACTGTACAGTACCTGTATATGTTTGAGTGTTTTTTGTGGATGCACTTGAATGTGTATGTTTGTGTCTGAATTAATTTTAGCTTTATGTGTGAGGATGATTGGCCACATGTAAGTAGGCCCTTCCTCCCATTATTTTCCAGCTACTGCACCTCTTATATATTACACAACCCCTTTTAAGTCTGAATTGGTTTAGGCAGTCAGGAGGTACAATAACAATGTGCAGACCAGGGCCAGATTCAGGAGTGGGCAAAGTGGGCAGTTGCCCAGGGGCCTCCACAATCTGGGGTCCTCCACATATTACAATATTTTATTTAATGTATTTGTTTATTCATTTGGATTATTTTTATATTCATTCTTTAAAATTCATGTTTATCTATTCCATCACGTAAAACTATGTTCAGCAAGAAGCATGATAGAAATTAGGCTAGCTACTCCTTGAAATTCATGAATACCTGGTTTTCCTATGAACCGTATATATTTAATGAATGCTATTGTTTGTGTTGCTAATAATATATTTAGAATTCCGGAACTCCCAGATGTTTAGGCTCGCTTCACTCGCCACCCCACCCTCTTGGGTAGTTATAATGAGGGGGGCCTCCACAAAGAGGCTGCCCATGGGCCTCCACAGGTCTAAATCCGGCACTGGTGCAGACTGTTCTCCCCATACTTGTAATGTATTTCGGGGGCACCTGGTGTGTAGGTCTAGTAAAGTGAAGATTAATTGTTTTCCAGATGAAGCAGATGAAGAGGGCGATGATTACGAGACAGCCATCAATGCTACTGGTGAGTCCTACAAACTCTTCTTGTTTCTAGTTTCAAACATTGTGTTTTTTTATACTGTACAATATTTCATATGGCCTATTTTTATTGTAGTAAATCCTCAATTATTATTATTCTTTTATATTATTATTAGCATTAAATTTTATTATTATTATTTTTAGTAGTATTAGTACTACAGTACAGTAGTACCCAGATTTACGCAGTCAATTGAACCCACAGGGTACCACGGAAAGTGAAAACCGCTTAAAGTGAACAACAGAACATATGGGATTAATTCCAATAGAGACTGGCCCGACCCCCAAACTCCACTTTTTCCGACACAATACCTATGTTGTAGTAAAAATAACATCTAAATTTTATGATGGTATGCTCACACAATTAATATTTAAGAGAAATACAGTCACCAGGTTAATGTCCATTCAAATAATGGACTCAAATCCCCCCCCCCCTCTTCCCAGCTCACTAGCTCCTACCTCTCTGAGAAATGTTTGGGTGAAACCACTAGATTTTAACGTTTAGTAATAAATAATACCTCAGACTAAAGTTAGGATAATATAATTGACATTTCTGGATTCCTTGCAGGTCAGGGAATATTTTGAATGTAAACTTCATATATTTTGCACAAAAGATAAAATATTTGCTTTGTGTAAACCAAATTATTACATTAGATCTAAAATTTGTATGTCTAATGCAAAATCCATGATGTTTATATTCAAAATGATCATCATATTGTAAGAATTCCAGCAATGTAAATTATATTCTGGCCGAGTAATTTGTATGAATTTTATGAGCTAAAACAAATATCTTCAGGTAATAAAAAAAAAATATTCTTCACGACACTATCTGTCAATCAAAGTACCCCACCTTGCCTCCCCCCCTCCAACTCGCCAGCGGTCGGTCCCAACCCTCCCCCCCACCCCCCACCTTCCCTCCCTACCAGAGAAATGTTGGGTGAAAAAACTAGATTTTAACTTTTAGTAATAAATAATACCTCAGACTAAAGTTAGGATAATATAATTGACATTTCTGGATTCCTTGCAGGTCAGGGAATATTTTGAATGTAAACTTCATATATTTTGCACAAAAGATAAAATATTTGCTTTGTGTAAACCAAATTATTACATTAGATCTAAAATTTGTATGTCTAATGCAAAATCCATGATGTTTATATTCAAAATGATCATCATATTGTAAGAATTCCAGCAATGTAAATTATATTCTGGCTGGGTAATTTGTATGAATTTTATGAGCTAAAACAAATATCTTCAGTAAATAAACAAAGAAATAGTCTTCAAGGACACTATTCTAATTAGTTCCAGGCACCCAAGACCCAACCCGAATTTACCCATTTTACGACCATTTAGACCCACTAAAGATATAGATAATGTTATGGTAAGTATCATAAACACACACAGGCATGGCTAGGTTTATTACAAAGTGATGAAAAGGGTACACTCAATACTATAGTCCACAAAACATGTAGCTATGCTTTCTTTATTTGAATCCCCCATCTGAGGAGTCCGTTTTCTCATCGCTTCTGGACGCCTGAGTCCTCCGTTTTCTCTCAATCTTAGAGTGCATCCGAGACTTTGTTATTCCTTAGTAATGACACAGAATTTGAAATTGCAACTGGGGTTGCAATTGTTAAGGCAACTTAGATATGTCTTATTACAGTTGGAACATTCAAGATCCATTGTGAGTGATGTTGAAAGCTTCAACTGTCTTTATGATTGGTAAAACTTGTCAAGTCTGTCAGTATGAGTGGCATGTGTGAGTGCTTGTGTTTGTACAACCGCTTTCAAGTTTTGTTACCTCCATCCATTTTCTTCCAGCAAATGTGCTATTGTCAATTTGTAGGTGAAAGATTTTATCCCCATCAGATGTAGGTGAAGCAAGGGGGTAACAATACACCTGGAGGCAACTGCGTGATAACTAAATTCTTGGCCTGAAAAACGTGCTATAACAGTAGGTGTGCAGATTTTGATGGAGGCGTGATAACGAAAATCGTGATAACCGAGTGCGCTATAACCAAGGGATGACTGTAGGCTGTTACCTTACATCAATGGTAATATTCATTACTTTTTTATTTTTACTTGTTTTTAAGTACAGCATGCCCTTAAAATTCATAGGGATTTGGGTCTCAAAATGGCCGCGAATATCATTTGCTGACGGGGGGGGGGTAATGTATATTCTCTTTATGTGATTGCCCTTAGGACAATTATTTCTTTTACCTGTAATGTATGTATATGTGTGTTGTGTATGTGTAGATACATACACACACAACACATACAAATAAATAATAATGGGAAAATCCTCTCACAAATAATCAGAAACAAGACAACAAAATGAATGCTTTGTTATTAAAGTTGAGTTGGTTGGGTTGCCATATGGCAATTTTTCCTCATAAAAATGACTGTCTCCAGAACAAATCGCTCCCTGTCCTGGCCGCGAAAATGACGGCAACTTTAAAACTACCCGCAGACATTCTTGGGTACGTTCAGGGTGTCATCTGTGAATTGTCAGGGCATGCTGTATTTTATATTAGCTTTGTATTTGTGATACAGTGGTCCCTCGGTTAACGAGCACAATCCGTTCCAGCAGGTTGCTCGTTAACCGAAAAATTCGTTAACCGAAACCATTGTTTCAATGGGTACTTGGGTAATTGGTTCCAGCTCACTGAAAATTGCCTAAATTCAACAAAAAAGGTAGAAAAGTACACTTACTTTGAGGTGTGTATGTAGAAGGCTCCTGGATGATGATGATGATGATGATGATGATGATGGGAATTAGAATGGGGGTGGAGGAGAAGGAAGAAGAGAAGTCATTGGGGTGGGAGAGAAGTCACCCCATGGCACCATTTCACCCATAAAATTTTAGTTCTCTTGGTGTAATTCAAGATTATTTTCTTTAAATCAACACTACACTGCATTATATATTGTCAATATGTAAAATAAATTTCAAAATGACCAATAATTTGCTTGCAAACACAGAAAAAAGCATTTAGTTGAAGAGAGTCTCAAGCAAGATGTTACCTCCACTGAAAAGAGAGAGAGAGACTAACGCCTGTTTGGTGTGTTAACAGGCTGACTAAAAAAGTTGATATTAAACATTTAAAATTATTGAATAGTTTAAAATTCTTGATATTTACTAAAATAGTAAGGAATTTAAGCCCTAAAACTACAGCTGGTGGACCGCCAAATGCAAGCGAATACATGTTGAGGTCGGCTTGTAAAAAACTCGTTAATCGAGGGATTGCTCGTTAACCGAAGTTAAGAATCTTATGGAAGGTAAATCGTTAACCGAAATCTCGTTAACCGAAGCGCTCGTTAACCGAGGGATCACTGTAATTATACAAGACTCTTCACTATAGCCACATCTCCCTAGCCTTCCCCTGCCACTCCAGGTCAAGCTGTGAGCAATGTTATGGTTATTTTTCAGCTCCTTATTTTGGGTAGATACATGTTCTTTTTTTGTGTGTTTTTTAATGATTTATGTACACTCTCAATCTTACGTACAGAATGTACAAAAGAAATAAGATAAATAATTATTATAAAGTTAAAAACATAAAAGGGAAAAAACTTAGTACTTGTGTTAAGAGGAGGGAGGAGTGAGGGATCTCAGGTGTTTTGAGCTGTCTCCTGTGTGTAATGAAATAACAGTGTTGACAAATTTCATTGTCTAACAACCAAATGACAATACAGTAAACCCTCGATAACTCGGAATTTCATATAACTCAGCATGGATATGGACTCGGGATGTATTGGTAAAACTCATTATATTCTGGTCTGGTAATTTGTATGAATTTTATGAGCTAAAACAAATATCTTCAATAAATAAAAAAAATTTACTTCACCCAGACACTATCTGTCAATCAAAATACCCCACCTCCGGCTCCCCCCCCTCTTCCCACGCTTGCTGGGTCCGTCCCTCCCTCCCTCCCCACCACCCCCACCTTCCCTCCCTACCAGAGAAATGTTTGGATTAAAACAGTATATTTACATTTTTAGTAATAAATAATGCCTCAGACTAAAGTTAGGATAATATAATTTACATTGCTGGATTCCTTGCAAGACCAGGAATATTTTGAATATACACATCATATATTTTGCACAAAAGATAACATATTTGCTCTGTGTAAACAAAATTCCTACATTAGATCTAAAATTTGTATGTCTAATGCAAAATCCATGATGTTTATATTCAAAATGATCATCATATTGTAAGAATTCCAGCAATGTAAATTATATTCTGGCCGGGTAATTTGTATGGATTTTATGAGCAAAATAAAAAAATTATACTTCACCCGCGTATATGAGTAGATGCACCGTGTAAAGTGGGAATTCTGGTTCTGGCAGGATACTCTGAAATTTTCCTTATAGGGTGACAGGCCTGCACATAATATTCAGTGCCTTTCTTTGCCTTTACAAAAGAGCATAGAAACACCATTAATTTTCCTTTTTTTGCTGAATCAGCACTGTATATTGTATCCTGCTCTTTAATGGTATGTAAAATTTGAATTCACTACAGTTCTTCAGCCCTTCATATTTTGTTTTTGTAATTTTAAGTGTGTATTTTATCATATTGGATTACTGTATATTTATTCTTTGTTTTTTTAGCAAAAGAATTATACAGTTGTCATAAGGATACAATTATTAAACAGAATATTTTATCTTCCAGGTTATGGTTTTTTTCACTACTGGTTGGTGGTTATTGCAGGCTTTGCAAATGCAAGTGATGCAATAGAGATCTTGTGTGTGTCCATTCTTCTGCCTGCAGCACAATGTGACTTACATATGAATTCAAGTGATAAAGGCTGGCTTAGTGCTATTGTATTCTTAGGTAAGTTATTTTGTTCTATAATGTGTTATAGTTTACACTAGTAAGAGTAAATGAGTGACAACAAATGGATGCTGTTTGTGTCTGTGTTCAATATAGTGAAAACAGACATAAAAGGGTATGGGGGTACTGGTCACTATCTTACAGGTGAACTAATGATACTGTAAAATATTTCTTATCTCTTTGGTTATCTGGCATACTGTGAGAGTGGAGACCCTGTATACTGTATATTAACCTCTGTATAATTGGAGGAGTGAAGGGTTGGCAGGATGAATAGATTAAATACAGGTTAGGTTGTTGTATAGCATGGGATACATACATGGATACGATTTCATAATATATGTTTTGTAATTCATTGCAGGGATGATGGTTGGTGGCTACATATGGGGTTGTCTGGGTGACATATATGGACGACGGACTATCCTCATTGTCTCACTCCTGGTGAATGCCATTGCTGGTGTTATATCATCTTTTATGCAGACTTTTCCACTCTTCCTTTGTTTCAGGTTTATATCTGGCCTAGGGTAAGTAAATTTTGAGAAATTTGTATATTATTCTTGTAGATTTACACAGGAAAAAAAGGGGTTCTCAAAAATAATAAATGTCTTTTAGTACCACATTGCTAAGCAGGATGCACAGACCAGAAGGTAAATTCTTCATGCTGCAATCAACCCTCTCACTTAGTTGAATCAAGTCTTATAGATTCAATTCCATTTGCTGTGAGAGTTTTTCTTGGGATTTGAAAGCCATCATACATAAAGGACAGCCATACTCATGCCATTTCTTTCAGTTCCTGCCATGACACTGAATTAACAAAAGTTTTCCATGGTCTTAGTTATGCAATACAGTACAGTATAGTACTACATCCAGTGTTTCCATGTGAATCAATCAAGGAGAATGATTACTATGCTGACATTACACTGTTTCTTCTCTGTTTATTATTTCTATGTTAGTTCTCATGGATGTCAAACAGTCATTTAACACTTTCAAAGCTTATAATGTTAAAGTCAGTGGCATTTGATTTAGTCATTTGTCAGTCTATTTAGTGTGATCATTTTGATAAGGTATGTTTTTCATAACCCAAGGTGGTTAGTAAGTGGCACTGACACACTCCTACTGTTGCAATTTTTTTTAATTCTTGCACGAATAACATGTAAGTTTGTAATTTTAAAAACACATATTTGCAGTGAGTTGTAGGCTATGCCACCTTCCCTAAGTGAACAGGTCAATTTTGCTAATGCTGGATTTATTTCAACGTGCACAGACTTATATTGTAAGGATTCATAGTTCTGAATATAATGATGTATTTGTCAACTGTTTACCTCTTATTTTGAAAGAATTTTACACCTTTTTGGTTTCAGTAAATGAAACTTGGGAAATCTTATGAGGAACTTGATCACTGAAATAACTTGGAACTGTCATGCAAGAACTAACCAGTATTTATTGTCATAAACAAGAGATATCCTGTGAATACTGTACCACGTTACATGTTTTCAAGGATACTAATCAAACCCCAATAGTTTAGAGTTAATCATGTTAACCCGTAAAAGGTCACATTATTATACATACAGTAAGTCTTCGCTTAACATCGGGGTTACGTTCCTGAAAATGCGACGTTATACGAAACAATGTTAAGCTGATAGATTTTCCCCATAATAAATAAATAAAATACGGGAGTTAAGCTCCTGAGCCTCCCTTTGCCCCATGAAATACATTACCTGTACATATACATAAATTCAAAGCTCCTTGTGTGATGCCTGGTGAGGTGCTTTTATGCATTACCTGTACAGTCATCCCTTGGTTATCACGCCTAATTGGGACCCCACCGAGTGCGTGATAACGAAAAACGCGATAACGAAAGTACAGAACCTATGGGATTTATTCTAATTGGTTCCACGCACCCAAGACCCAACCTCAAGTTTCCCATTTTACGACCATTTAGACCCACTAAAGATATAGATAATGTTATGGTAAATATCATAAACACACATAGGCACCACAGAGGCTTGCAGGGCCTCTTTGTCAAGCCCTTCAAAGTCCATATCCTCACTATCACTGACTCTGGCTGGCTGTGATGGGTGGCGGGTGAAGAACTCGATAATGTTTTGTTGACTGGGCGACCTTGTGCGCACCCTGCCCGCGCCGCTTCCCGCATAAATGATGAAATGAACAGCGTAAATAAAAATTTTCGGTCTGGCAAGGTGCCGCGTAAATGACCAAACGCGTAAACCAAATCTGCATAATTCGAGACTACTGTATACTGTACAGTCGGCCCTTAGCATACGCGGGGGTTACGTAACAGAGATACCCGTCAATGTAAACAATCCGCGTATATGTGCTGCCCCAAAAAAACCTGGTCCCCCATGTCCTTATTTACCGTATATACCTGTGTGTAGTTCAAGTTTTTAAGACCAAATTATTTGGCAAAAAATTGGGGGTCGACCTCTAAACGGGTAATAGTTTCGTTAGGTTGAAAAATATTTACCAGTAACTACC